AAAAAAAAAGGGGGGGGGGGGGGGGGGAAGAAAAGTTTCTAATTGGTCAAAAAAGAATTATGAGTTTAAAGGGATATGGAAAGTTGAAGGTGGGAAAATCAGAGATCTTTTATTCAATTCTGTTTTGAAAAAAATTGTGAATTGTCTCTGTGCGTGTTTACATAGGGCTAGAAACTAAGGTAATGGAGAGAGAAGGTCAGCAGTTCATAAAACCCTGCCGTTTGAGGTATTCCAAGTTCAATTGCTCTTTTTTTTTTCAAGCCTTTTAATCTCATTATTTCAAGAATCCATGTTGTTTTGGCTAATTTGATGTCTTTGAATTGGGTTGAACGTGAAGGTTGGCATTTTCTTGAATTTTCAAATGTATTATGGTGCTGTTGATATGAGTGTGATTCTTCTCTCTTTGTTGACTCTTTTCTCTTCAAATCCTATTTAACAAAAGAGAATGTATTTGCTTATGAATTTTGTAGGCATTTTGCAAATCTTAGTATAAATTGGAACTTGCTTGGCCTATTTTATTCTATTCTGTTAGCTTTTTTTTTGGGACAGTGACATTGGTGTCGAGCTTGCTAACCAGTCCATCATATTTTGTTACAGGCTTACTGATGTTTTTTGGCAATTCATGTCCTCTTTATTTTGTGGGATCAGCATATGGACAAGTAAAGAAAACAAAATCAGCTCCTACATCTCTTTTATTAGGTTATTTGATGGGTTGGCTTATGTTTTCTTAATCAAGAGCCTTATAGTCAAATTAGATGAGTTGATTCAAAATATTGGCCTACAATGCTCTGGATTGCACGAGGATTATGTCAATATTGTGCAATTTTCAAAATATAAATCGCATGCTTTGGTCTGAACTATGTACGTATTATAGGAAAATGGATATTTGTAATAAGAGATCTTTGTAACCACTGACTATCATAACTTTAAAATTTATGAAGTTTTATTTTTCCATGAAGTGGCATTAAGCATATTCACGAAGTAAAAGCAGTTGTATGTATCCATTTTGCTTATGCATTTATATAAGGGCTATGGTTGGAGTTTATGTTTGCATGTTTCTTATGTGATCATATTAGAATTGTTTATCTTTAGACTAAAAGAAGAAGAGGAAAGCAAGGATCTTGCTAATGCTTGAGTTTATAATTGCCATTTTTTGTTATATAGAGTCTTCAAGGACGAGCAATTATTAATAAATTAATAAGTAAGTTAAGTGCGAGAAACTATTTAATCTAATGATAACATTGCACCATCAATACCATGGAATGCCATCAATCAACTATATAAGGACTTAGTGAATCCTATTATTTTAATAATTATTAATAACTACCTCCATCAAAGTGCTACCATATTAAAATAGTAGTGTTTATCAATTTTTTTTTGGTATTCTATTATTAATTCATAATACCACATGTTAATGATAACGTAATATCATTATCTTTTTCCTTTTGCGAGGCTACTTTGAGTAATGGGTACCTAGTAGGATCTCGACCCACCTACTATATTTACTTATTAAGTGGATCTATATTTTTTCAATGAGTAATAATCTATATAATAAAACAGGAGTGCGTTTGAATTTTATTTCAGTCATATTTTTTCCCTAAAAATCATCATCAATCACTTATCTCACCTATCATCTCTTTGTCAAAATCAAACGTCAAATTACATCACTCGTTTTTATCATATATTTAATTATTTATATATTTTCTTCCTAAAAATATCATACCACTCATTTCTATTATATATTTAATTATTTAATATTTAATTAATTTGTAGTTAATATATTTTAAAAAAATTTAATATAGTGGGAACGATTTTTTGAATGCTTGAATTTTATATTTTATCGTGCCTTCATGCACGGGTTATGATTAGTTATTTTACACAAGAGGTAGTTATTTTAAAAAATTAAATTCACTTTGTCCACTTGTTAAGTTGTAATTAAACTGTAATATTACATAACATTAAGGATAGAATAGCCGTTATATTGAGCTAATAATAACTTGTGCCTATGCAATATAAAAATTGAGCTCTTCAAAGAATCGAACCTATTAAATCAAATCACAACAACCATTTCTTTCAAAGAAAAATTGACAAAATATGTATACAAAATCGAGTACTAATACAAAAATTTTCAACAACATACAAATATTTCAAGTAGCAATTTATTTTTCTTCTTTTGTTTTAGTTACTCCATTTTAAATCAATATAGACCCACAACCAATACAAAAAAAGTTAACAAAATTTACTTTAAAAACAGAACACAAAATATATATATATATCAACTTGTGTACATAATCTATCAAATGTGCTTATTATTAAGAAACATATGAATTTAAAGAAAACATGACTCAATTCATGTATCAAATTCAATATCACTCCCTAATTCTATCTTAACAAAATAATTTATCAACTACTGCAACATAGTAATATCAACAATAAAATAAAGCTCAACTTTATCCATATTGATTTGCATATATCAAATTCAACCCGCAATTCCAAATGTACTCATTTAATTAACATTAACATCCACTCTCATACAAAAATTACTACAACAAAAGTAAAAAATCCAAGTAAAACTGAAGCAAATCAAGATGATTAGTTTAATTGATCTTGTCTTTGTCTAAAGATGTTGGGTAAACAAAAACAAAACAACAATCAGCAAAAAAAAAAATTTAAAAAGTTAAATCCTTAATATATTTTAAAAAAATTTGGCCAAAGTTTCTTGTAAAAGTGGGACCTCATAAAATTTTCAACCTGTATACAACCCAAAAGGGCTACCAATATCTCACTATCAAGCCACGGTTCTAGCTAACATAACCATGTACCAACAAATACAATATTTATGTCACATGCGCCCAAGAATAGTCAATGTTTAAATGCTCAATGCAATTAATAATCAACAAAATAAAAATGATGAAAGTAGAGTACCTATGAATCTACCCAACCTAACAACTTAGATATCGTATGTAAATAAACTTTGAACATGAACTACATAAACGTCAAAAAAAAACATAAAATGGTTTCAAACAAATTCACAACAATCATCAAAGATATAAACAGATCTTACGTAGCACAAAAAAATAATATAACTTGATATTTATATTTTTGGTGATGATAAATAATAAATATGACTTAGAAAACAAAGAAATAATTGTGACGCCCCAAAATCCGGGTGTCCATAATTTCTCGGTTGATTACCTATCAATCCGTGGAATACCCATGGATACCGTGTAATTCGATACTATGCCGCTATATCCCATTTACCGGAATCTATAATTTAACAAAATTTGGGCAAAGTCTCTTTTATACTAGGAGTTCTATCCAAAATGTAATCTGTGCAATCATACAACATTGACAACATCGGACCCATTCATCCATACTCAATTGCATAGTATCGGATACTACCATAATCATCATCACCACGTACATTCATTTATAAAAGAATAAATGTTTCAAAAGAGTCTCATATACATGCCTTTTTAATATAAAAGAAGTTTTTGTTTACAAAAATTATATAAGGCCAAAAGTAAACATATACAAGGGACTACAAAGTCAAAATAAGAGCCACAGACCAACTCTGTCGTCAAAGCGGGCCCATGGCCTTGCCTTTGGTGGACGTCTGTGCAATATCTGAAAAATATTCCCGTATAGGGTGAGTCAACGCTCAATAGGGTAACTTCTATAGAGAATACCTCTCAACCCAAATGCATATAAAATGTCATATGCAACAATCATTTCATACATTCATTCAAATATGTCTATTACAAATAAATGTCATAATCATGTCATGCCATGAGATGAGACTCACGCAAGCAAAACCAACACTGAGCCCTATTCTGAGTTCCCACAACACATGCAATGTCATACGTATGTATCTAGACATTTCAAGCCCCCGTCATTGATGTTATGTACACTTAATGACTAATTAATTTATTTTCTTATGTCTTTGTGGGAAAATGATTTATGGTATTATACCAATGAGATACCACACCATTAATGGATTTTCTGGACATCAAACCTGCGACTCCGTTTTTGCCATTACACTTTTCTGGAATTGCACTGCCAAAAAGTGTATAAACCAAGTAAATGAGTCTTACACCCGAGGGAGAATCTAGTCATTCTTGCTATATCCCAACACGTTTATCCATTTAATTTCCTGTGGGACTCAGTCGGACCTTGGTGCGACTTTCTTGAGCCGATCAACCACCTATGTGGTGATTGATTTTATACCACGCACACACTCCCACCCAGGTCAATGCCCATGAATGTAGTACAACTCATGCATAATGCAATACAATGTGCAATTGCCTTTGATAACATTTATAATGTCCATTACATGATAAATGCAATATAATGACATTTTTAACATAATCTCAAGCATGTTATGTAAGATAATTAACTCAACTAATATACTTGTATTCACCTACGCATTTAAACAAACCCCTAGAGGGCATATCAATTTATACAACTAACATATTTATTACTTCCAACATGGCAATATGTTTATTAATTCTATAAACATAAGCACAAGTCCACCACAATAATCATATGCTAAATAATCATTTAACATACATATTATTTCATAATCATATTACAAACTAATAATTTTATTAAACTTGATATGTCATTAAAACATCAAGTCATGCTAATGTACAATTAACATACTTTAAACCATTAACATTAACTTACACCAAGTTAATTACAATATAATTTTACTAATTGCAAGATTAATTATAAATCATATATTTGACCCACTAGTTGCACTAGTCAAGGCCTAACATGTGATATACACTCTTAGCCTATCCATTTCATATGTCATATTTTAGGTTAAAATTACATCTAAATAAGGGAAACCCTACCTCTCGAAACATGAGCCCACATAGTAGAACTCCAAGAAAACCCGAATTTAGCTTCTCAAGCCATAAGCCTAGATTCTCGTCTTTGACATTTTTGGAGAAAAATACGATCTTTAATATGGTTGTGTAGCTCTCGTTGAGTAAAGCAACATTAATTCTTGACCCAAAGCGATTAAACGGTTTAATCTTCGTAGATTTAAGAAAGAAGAAAGGAGAAAAATAAAGAAAAAGACTCACTTTTCTCTCTCGGCAGCCCACTGAAGGAAGAAAAACAAGTGGAAGAAGACTAAGTTTTCCACTTTATGTATTTTAAATGTGTGGCCCACATCGCGCTACACGTATTCTTTTTAACAGGTCAAATTTTATTCCGAATCAATTAAATTTTCAGTGTTAAGTTTAGTATATTTTTATTGAACTAACTTTAAATTATTTTTTTGGGTCCCACGAATAAAATTTGATCGCAATTATTTTAGTCGTGCGACACCCGATCGCTCACTGGAGGAAGAAAAATAAGTGGAAGAAGACTAAGTCTTCCACTTTATGTATTTTAAATGTGTGGCCCACATCATGCTACACGTATTCTTTTTAACTGGTCCAATTTTATTCCGAATCAATTAAATTTTTAGTGTTAAGTTTAGTATATTTTTATTGAACTAACTTTAAATTATTTTTTTGGGTCCCAAGAATAAAATTTGATCACAATTATTTTAGTCGTGCGACACTCGATCTCTCTATAACACGTGAAAAATTCAACTGTATCAAAATTATAAATTTATTGTGTAGCTAGATTTCGCGAAACGAATCCAACGAATAGGTCCATTTCGTCATCTAATTTTTTTTATAAAAATTTATATTTTTGACCCGTGCTTTAACAATTAATTATTATTTTACCCCTTTAATTAGGATTTTAATAAAAAAAAAAATTCAGGTTTTACAATAGTATCCACCACAACGATGTGCAACTATCTTCCTTACCTTGTCTTTTTCAAAAAAATTGCATCTTTACATGCATGCACAATAAACAATAAATCCCAAGATTTCAATCTAAAGTGAGTGATGGTTTATGTGGCACGATAGAACAGAGGTATGAGTCTGATGAGTAT